ACAATGAACAATAAACAATAGTAAGAACAAATAATAAATAATAAATAGTAATAATAATAATAATGGTAAACAATAATGAGTAATAATAAATAGTAGCAACATTAGTATTAATAATAACAAGAGTAAATAAATAAATAAATAAACAAATAAACAAATAGAAAAGTAAATCTATAATGATCAGAGGAGAAAAATAATTATCACTTGATGACTGTTATAATAATAGTAATAATAGCGATAGCAACAGCAGTAGTAATAGTAGAAATAATAACAATGGCAATAAAATTAAAAAATAATGCCCCTGTGCAACTTGAATACTAAATCATTTTTGATCTACTCAACGATAGTTTAAAAAATTTTTATTGCTTATCGAAAGAATCTCTGCTGAAACAAAACTTCTAATTCATCATCAGACAGTAAAAATACTTCCGGAGCAAATATTTTAGCACGCTATTCGCTTCAATCTCTTGTAATGATGAACTCTTTAATGACGAGTGACAGCGTACGCTTGTTGCAAAAACATTTGCAATCGATCTTTGGCCAAAAACTAAAAATGCACAGTCTTTCGAAAAATGCTTCTGCCGAAAACCAACACGATGGAAAAAAAGGCAGAAAAATGAGCAGCGACAGTAGAAATACCTTCTTTATACTTTTTTGCTTCACAATTTTTCCCTCGTTTTTTCTTTTTTCTTCACTTTCTCTCTGTTTAGCTGACAACTATCTGCAACCTATCCTTAACAGAGATCAAATTTTTTATCCTATTAATCTACGCCTGCCTGTTATGTACACGAACATCTATCTATGCTTACATAAATACATAGAAAATGCAGAACAAAAGAGATTACAAGACGAAAGAAGCAAAAACTAAGTGAATAAAAAAGAAAAAAGAAGTGATAATTTCAATAATGCCAACTTTCCCTTCATCTGCTTCTCGGAATTTGTGTATCGCTATCGGGCAATCTGCCAACAAATGCACCTTTAAGGCAGGAACGCCGCCGGATGAACGTACTACGAAACTTGGTCGCAATTCCGGGTTCTTTGCACCGCCATCACAAACAAACAAACAAAGCAGCCAACAACCAACCAACCAGCCAACAAACAACAACTACAGCAGCGGCAACAACAAACTAACTAATTAACTTGCTTACTTACTTAATTACTCGTGTACTGAGCGTAAAACAATTTATCTCCGTTTAACGTCACCTTCCCGGCCTACTCTGAGATTCGGCAGGCGTTTAAGGTTACACAAAATGTAACTTTGCGCTGCAATGTTGCAAGATTTA